CCGTCCTTGAGAACACCACTCTCCCTTCTCTCCTGGGACCTTTGCACTCACTAGCACCCTGCTCAGCAGGCACTCTCTGACCTCAGCTCTGCACAGGTCACCTTGACTAAGCCTAGAGTCACCATCCATGGAAACACACCTCGGGACCCTCCATCAGGTGTTTCCAAAGAGCTAAAGAGAGAAAGGAAGACCCACTCTAAAGTAGCTCCGATCTACGGGCTGAAATCTGGTCTGAATAAAAGGGAGACAGTCCGAGCCAGTGATACGGTCCAGCAGGTAAAGGGGCTTGCAGCCTTGGCTGATGGCGTGAGTTCTATCCCTCAAACCCATTGGAAGGAGATACTGGACTCCCACCCTCCACATGCATGAAGCGGTGCCCATATGCTCTACCCCTGACAATAAATCAATATTTTAAGATACAAAAGAGAAAGCAAGCTGTGCGCCAGCATATGTGCGCATTTATATGTGTGTGCCCACATCCGTACACATGCACACACATTATGTGCTTCCCAACTGTGGGTGCAATGTGGCCAGCCAGCCACACTTCTGCCGCCACCACGACTTCCCACCATAACGGACTGTACTATCAAATAGAGCCTTTCCTTCACTTCATCTTGCCATGGATCTCGTCGTCATAGCAACAAGAAATTTAATACAATGTCCATCCTTCAGGTCTCAGCTCAAACCTCATGTCCCCAGATGAACAGTTTAAAGTTGCCGTGGTCACTTTCAGCCATCTCCCTCTCTTGTAAGACATTTTCAGAACAACACTGCCCGCCATCTTCATGAGACCAGCTATGTCTGCTCACAAATGCTCACTCCTGGGCTTGTTGACAGTTGACCCCTCACGGAAGGGGTGAGGAGAGTCATTGTTCCTCCCAGTCAGTTATATGTAATTCTGTCCCAACCGCATGTGGCCTCTTGGCCTTAGAGAGGGGCTAGAGTGTGCAGGCTAAGGAAGGCTGGGGACAGGACATCTATGCGGTCATGGAGGAGCCATCATCCACACCAGGTGCAGACTTTCCAGCATGGCTGCTCTGTAAGTAAGCTTAATGAATTCGTTGGTTCCTCAGAGTGAACTCTGGTGAACTCAAACTTTGGTTTGTCTTTAGGACTTTCGATGGAGGAGGCAGAAGTTGTTTAGTACTCTCCCACCCAGGGAGAAAACTCCCATAATTGCCTCTCAGAATGCAAAGTACCAGGAGAGCAGGGACCACGCCTTAATTGTTCATCACCATGTATCCAGAGCCGACACATTGCTTGGTACATGTCAGCTAGAGGAGGAATATTTCTGCGATGGACAGACAGCAGGTAGATAGATGGATAAATGTAGGTGGATGGGTAGGTGAGTAGAATGTGGACCGATGAATTGATGGAGACAGATGGAAGGTGGGAATACAAATTGTGGATGAGTGGATATGAGTGATAGGTGGAGAAAAGAATGGATGAGTGGGTGGATTAGAAGGATAGACAGATGGATCAGAGAGATGGGTGGATGGGTAGATGGGTGAGGGATAGATGGATGGATGGATGGATGGATGGATGGATGGATGGATGGATGGGTGGGTGGATGGATGGGTGGGTGGGTGGATGGGTGGATGGGTG